GCATATTGAATTATCTCTGAGTTCAAAAAGTTACAGAAGTCACCTTAAAAGCAGGGCAAACAAATAGTAGCACTGGTTATAGTTCTGTCTTGCAAGCTCTTGGGAATTTATATAATGTGCCGCTTTCAAGAGGAGCCATTGTAGTGTAAAATGCACAAGGCCAATCTATCATAAATAAGTGCTTTTCTCCAGAAACTGTGAACAGGAATAACCAGGCCCTTGCAGCCCTTTGAAGTAATCACATGACATGCTAGAGCAGCTTTTTGAATGAGGATGAAGCTAGCCAGCATCCCCCATGGAAGGATGACCTTTAAAGGTTCAGCATGAATGGAAACAGCAGAGAATGGCTTCTGACTCCAAGGATCTGACAGGGTGAAGCATTTGTCGAGGGTTAGTTGCCAGCAGCTATTCCCATTGCCGAGAAGTCATAATATAATGCAGCATTCTGACTTCAACAGCTCCAGGGAAGGCAATTTCTTGACATTGTAGGGCAGTAAGAAAGCAGTCTTCATCCTCACAGATTCTGCCAGCCTTCCTTTCATCCCTATTTTCCCAAGTTCACAAAGGCAGCACTTAATTTTTAAAAGAAAAGGGGGCAATGCTCAAGGCTAGCTGGAATTAAGATAGTCATCCATCATCCGTAAAATAGGGTACTCATTTCAGAATGCAGTAGGATTGGTGTAATTCTATGCCATGTGAGACTAGCAGGCCCACTCTCCATATTATGCAAATAAAATTCCCCTTCCCCCTTCAGGAGCCTCAAGGTACAGTAGTTAAACTGCAGTACTGCAGTCAAAACTCTGCTCATGACCTAAGTGTGATCCTGATGGATTCAGGTAGTTAGCTTGATGTTGACTCAGCCTTTCATCCTTCAGAGGTTGGTAAACTGAGAACCCAACTCTGTGAGAGCTGGCAATGCGTAGGCTGAATTATTAAATTATAAATTGCCTAGAGAATGCTTTAAGCACTATGGGGTAGTATATAAGCAGCACACTTTGCTTTTCTGCTTTGCTTTTCCTAGGCTGAGATAAATCACATCTCAGTATTACACGTGGCCTGTTCCAACAAGCTGTGATTTGCAAGTGAGATGAAAATTGTTTGTGGGACAAGTGCACGTTACAATGAAATGAAATGGCAATCTTTGGTAATGGGCTTGTCCAGAAGGGGGAATTTGGAGAGGTCTTGTTTGCACTTGAAAGGTTTTTATCTTCAGTGCAATCTATTTTATCTCTCACTTGAGCGATTCTTCTGTTCACACTGGCAAAGTTAATTCTCTTGTGAGAAAGGTCCACACAGGTCTTTGGCTCACTAGTTTACTCATGAGCAAGGTTTACCTGGTTTACTCACAAGCAATGTTTACCCAGTTTATTCACCAGCAAGGAAGCAGTGTCAACAGTAGCAAAGGACAGTGGCGGTGTGAGGGGGAAACAGTGGTGAAGAGATGGGAGGCAGGTAACCCCCAAATCTTTCTCCTCATCCAGGGCTTTGGTGGGACTGCTCTGCCTTTGGTGACAAAACCCATAGAGTCAACATAACTTCCTTCCCTGCCTTTTCTTGTCGTCATTATTCAGCTGGTCACAGTGACTTTTCTTTTGTTGTTGTTAAATAAAGTTAGAAGCATACTGAAACATCAATGTTTCAACCTAGAATTGTTCTGCATCAGTTAAGGAAATATTAACAAACAACAAGAAGAAAATAGAGGAGAGGGTCTCTCCATCCTCCCTTTTAATGTCACAACTGACCTAATATGTCACAGGGTTGTCAGCTCAGATAACGCCACCCACAGTTTCATTTGGGTGAAAATAACCATCTGTAAAGCCTATCCAGTGGGATGCTTAGGAACGCATTGAATCATTCAATAAAAAACAAACACAAGTCCCTAACACTGTGCCAGAAAGGAGTGGGGCAGCTTTTAAGGGGAAAGGATGGAGTTGAAAAACATATGTATTAGAATTGGGGGTATTTGTATTGGTATATCCCCCACAGGTGCAGATAACGAGGGTACAGCCCCATTGGGCCAGACTGTCCACTCGCAGTTCCACCACTCCCGCGAGCTCCATGGAGCCTTCCTGTCTATTGCTCTCAATAGATTTGCCAATCCTGGCAGAAGGTGGGAGGACGAGCCTCTCTGCCAGGTCGCTGTGGCTAATCCATCGCAAGCAATGGAGAGATAAGAAGGTTATGTGGAGCTCGCGGCGTGATGGACAGGTGAGTGACCTTCGTTATCTGCACCTGTGGGGGGGGATATTGGAGCTGGGAGTTTAGATTGAGATTGGAAATTTGTGCTTTGGGAGTTTGGAGTAGAGAGAGATGGGGTTGGCGGCTGAGAGTGTAGCAATCTATTTTATCTCTTATTGATTGTAAGAGTTAAAGATATTGATTGTACCTTCATTACCTGCAACAACTTCTATTTGGTTCTTTTAAAATGACACATTGCCTGGACCTCTATGATCAATAATAAACAATGTTGATGTAATCAACTGGTGGCAGCGACACGACATGTAGCTTGTGCCCTGTGATTGGTGAAACAACCAAGGGACAGACGGGAACGTCACAAATTGGTATATCTTGACCCGGCGCTTACCATGGAGATCCAGGTAATATCCGTGGTCTGGTCCACCCACTTTCATCTTTGGTGGATCACCCAGCTGCGTCCCTATCTAGACACAGGGGTGCTCACCACGTTGGTGCATGTGCTCGTAGTCTCAAGAATAGACTACGGTAATAGGCTCTACGTGGGGCTTCCTTTGAGGCTGATGCACAAGCTTCAAAAGGTCCAGAATACAGTGGCCAGGCTATTAACTGGGGTGAAAAAATTCTATCATATTTCCCCCACCCTGGCCACCTTGCACTGGTTACCTATTCACTTCCTCATTGACTTCAAGGTGTTGACTATTACATATAAAGCCCTAAACGGTTTAGGCCCTTCATACTTGGCAGAGCGCCTTCTTCCGCATAGTTCTGCCCGTATCACCCATTCTAATCAGGCCGGGCAGCTGAGGGGCCTAATGCTGAGAGAGGTCCAAAGGAAAAAAAAATCAGGCCTTTTCAGCAGTGGCCCCTCATTTCTATAACAATTTGCCTATAGAGATCTGCCTCGCCCCCTCGTTGAGGGCCTTTAAGACCAATTTGAAGACATGACTATATAGGCAGCCCTTCCCAACAGCCATCACCTAGCCTATTTTTCTTCTCCTTTTCTCTTTTCCATCTTGGATTCTGTTGTTAAATTGGGTCGTATTTTTAGTATATTTTTATTTTCATAGTTTATTTTTTGTCTAAACCGCCCAGAGTAGACACGTTCTAGATGGGCAGTATATAAGTCTAATAAAATAATAAAATAAATAATAAATACTGTATGTTTGTTTTTCTCTATGAGGAACGGTAAGTAACATTTTGTTCTTTCTCATTACAGAAATCTCTGAGAGACTGTACTGAGATAGTAAGTGTCAGCTGAGGTAAACTAACAAAGAGATGGGCATGAACTGCTGGTTTGTTTTTTGGCTGTTGGGGGTTGGACCAGTCATGCTATAGCTGTATTTATTTGGAGTGGAAATTGACTTACAATAAGGGTGCATCAATGAATCCCATGTTTAGAGCATGGTGGGTTGATCTATAGTCTGAATTTCCTTATTTTGGAGGGGAGTATAACTTAAACTATAACTTTTTTGCTTTAAAGTTTTGTTCTACTTTGTTGTTTTTATTTTTGTTTTTAGGGTGTTTAACAGCTTTTTCTGAACTATAGGAAACACAGAAACACAAAGATTAATTCTGAGAAAATAAATTCTATCTTTACAGAGGAAACAAAGATAAAAGAAAATTCCTTAAAAGGTTCCATATACAGTAAATACACAAAGCAAACAACAATGAAACATCTTGGACTCATGTAGAATCTCTAAAACACATCTGACCTTGCTGGCAGTCTGGTTTCAAGAGTCACCAACACACGTCCCAATTTCTGAACCATTTACTTTAACCCCAAACTGTATTCAGTTCTTCAAAACAAAAACAAAACAAAACAAAAAAAAAACCACCCTGGTTTATGAATCTAGCATACTGTGCTTTTTTACCCTCAATTCAAAAAGCCAGGAAATAGCCTGATATTGCTCCACAATGTGTTGCCAGCAGGAAAAAGGATCCTAAGCTTTACATAGCAAAGGGCAGCTTGAATACTGATGACACCAATGGCAGCATTCAAGATGGTCTACAGCATTGGTCCTCAACCTTGGGCCTCCAGATGTTCTTCGACTTCAACTCCCAGAAATCCTGGCCATAAGAGGTGGTGATGTAGGCTTCTAGTAGCTGTAGTCCAAAAACATCTGGAGGCCCAAGATTGGGGACCACTGGTCTACAGTATACCCTCTTCTGCTCACTACCATTCACAAAATGACACCACACAGGAAAAAATCCCAGAAGCTGATTCCATTTTAAAAAATCTGTTATCCACTTCTTGCCCAAACATAAAGCAATTGTTAGGACTGTTTTTTGTTTGTTTTATTTTAGGGGTTGGGTGTAGGCATGGGAAAAATAGGGCATGGGGTAAACAGAGGGTGCAAATCAACATAAACATTTTAGAATACTCATTATCATCTGTTACATTTCATATGTACATATGTTCATAGGTACATATGTTCCCGGTAAAACTTAGTTATGGTATACATTCTATTTCTAAATTGATCATAGGCTTTCTATTATCAAAAATTAATTTGCATTCTATTTTTCAGTGAGTCATAACATTTTGCCAACAGTCATTATGGTTCTTCTTTCTTGTTGGATCTGACCATTCTGATAATTTATCCATTTCCAGGATTTTTGCTATTAACTCATCTTGTGATGGAGGGCTGTTTTTCAACAAGTGTATAGTACATGGTAGTGAGCAGAAGAGGTCCAGTTTCAGAGTTTTGTTTGTTTATTTGAGGAGCCCCTTTTTTTCCATGTATAGAGGCGACTCTATAAATGGAAATCTCCAGATGGGCAATATCGAATACAGATTGATTATATTCTCTGCAGCCAAAGATGGAGAAGCTCTATACAGTCAGCAAAAACAAGACCTGGACCTGATTGTGGCTCTGATCATCAGCTTCTCATAGCAAAATTCAAGCTTAAACTGAAGAGAGTAGGAAAAACCACTGGGCTACTCAGGTATAATCTAAACCAAATCCCTTATGAATACACAGTGGAAGTGAAGAACAGATTTAAGGAACTCAATTTGGTGGACAGAGTGCCTGAAGAACTTTGGATAGAGCCTCGTAACATTGTACAGGAGGCAGCAACAGAAACCATCCCAAAGCAAAGGAAATGCAAGAAAGCAAAGTGGCTGTCCAATGAGGCCTTACAAATAGCAGAGAAGAGAAGGGAAACAAAATGCAAGGGAGATAGGAAAACTTACAGATAATTGAATGCAGACTTCCAAAGAACAGCAAGGAGAGACAAGAGGGCCTT